ATGTTCCTTTCTTTCCAAAAGTTATGATTTGAAAATCACAATGCACAGAAAATTAAATGTGGAAATACATATTAGCCCCATCTTACAGAACACTGGAAAACATGACCATAAAATACTAGTCTGAAGTTATCATTAGAGAGTTTGGGCACTGTAAATTCTAGAATCCTGGATATTTTTTCCTTGTCAGTTTCATGATAATCTTCATTTCAATGGATGAAATCCAGCAGACTTTATTGAAACTGAAGGTAGGTATAAAACTAACATGTTTTAAAAGAAAATCATCAGGACTCAGTTTTCCACTGGCTAAAGAGAGTGTTTCATCTATCTCAGCATATGTTTTACCTGAAGGCAATAGCAACAATACATCCCATGTCAATGTTACCAGCCAAAACACTCTCTGCATGGAAAATAGCCCGATTAATGAAAACAATACATTGGCCACAACTGGAATAAACAATATTCTCATTAATCTAGTGCCTCTTTCTTGGAAAAGTGCATTTTTGTGGACGTATCTGGTAATTAAATAATTGGCAAGAACACGCTAGCTGGTGAAGAGAACAAACTAGTTCTGCCAGTATGGAGGCTAAATCAATTCAGAAAGCAATGTTTACAGTCTAATAACCATCAAGAAGAATGATGAGAAAATGAAGCAACAACTCAGATGAATCTTGAGAGATTCATACTGTAGAGATAGTATCGTTGAGAAGTTCCTTTTCTTGAAAGCCAGTGGAAAAGATGTCTTATGTTTTACACATAAATAGAAATGGGAGATAATTAAATTTATCTCAAATGTTAGCTGATCTTGTACATTAAATGTGTGCTGTCAAATGTGAACTGTGTATGATTGCAAGTGATGCAAAATGAAAACTTAAATAGGAGTGAAGCACTTGGTGATGCTCTGAGATTGGGAATCACCTTACACAAATGCAAATCTTTTTCTTTTTAAAATTAAACAAACGTGTTCCAGTTTGATATCAGTGAGCAATTGGCCTGAATTGCAGCCCTATGTTTGAGCAATTATTTTGGGTTCAGTCAAGAAGAAATAGTGATAGCAATTAAGCATTCGAGGCTGATGATAAGTATCAGTAGTCAAAAATGCTGAATATAGAGCTAAAATATATTTTGTATAAATCAAAATTTTTTGGTAGTTATTCAGCAGAAAACCTATCCAAATATGAATTTGGTGTTCAATTAAAGTATGAAGATTATCTGCATGTTTGTATGTGCTGACATTGTAACCGGCATAGATACTGCAGTTTTGTGTAACAGAATCGAAGTTGTTCAGTCAGTAGGATGTTTCCTTACATTGAAGAGACAAGTAGTTGTTTTATAATATTGGGTTCAAAAAAGAAGTGATCTGAACAAAGAGAACGTTAGAAAGAATTCTGTCAAACCACAACATAACTTGCATACTCAGTTTTAATGTGATTTGAAAACAAGACCATACTTGTGGGTTTGTTGATGCAGCTAACCCACTATTCAGGCTTGACCTTTCACTTCTGGAGAGCTGGGTTGACCTCCTTAATATTAAATTAGCTTTGTAGCTTACAAACAATCCACATTTCTCCTCATATAAAATTTGCAAAATTTATTTTATGCACTTGTTCA